CAATGACCGCCTGCTGCTCGACACGGCGACGAAGCTCGGGCTGTCGGCGCCGCCGCTTAACTCGGGGCCGAGCATGGCGGTTGTGAACATGTCGTTCTACCGCTGGGAGAGCGTCACGCCGCCGCCCGTCTTCGACTGGCGCACGGCTACTTCCATTACGCCCATCCAGACGCAGTTTCAGGTTGGTGATTCACAACGCCACTCCCGCTTGCTGTGGTCTTTTCGTTTTCAGACTTCCTTTTTTCAAGAATGCGTCTTCATTCAGACTCTCGTTCCGTGTTCTTGCTGTGTCTTGCATCTCCATAAGATAACATAATCAGCAGTAACGTCTCTCGGCCGTTGATTTGCGGACACTGTCTTAAGCTGCTGGATTACTTCTGACGCCAAAACTCACGGAACTTCTTCGTCTCCCTTCACTTTTTTTTTTTTTCGCAGTGCTCAAGCTGCTGGGCGATCGCAGCCATCGATTCCGTCGCCATGATGTGGTCCATTGCCAACAATGCCACAGCAGAACAGCTGTCACCGCAGCAAGTGTGCGACTGCGCGACGAAGCAGTGCTGCCAGGGCGGGTGGCCCGAGTGGGCCTTTTCCTACGTGCTCTTCAACGGCGGCGTCACGTCCAACGCCAACTACCCCTACCTCGCCTACGATTCCGCCACGTGTCTGCTCGACACAACCATGCCGTCAACGGCGCAGATCACGGGGTGGGAGCTGGTGCCGGCATTCAACGCCATGGCGCTCATGAAGGCCGTGACGAAGCAGCCCGTTGTCGCATTCCTTAGCGCGTCGTCCACGGACTTTGTGGTACGCTCACCGGGTCCCATTTCTCATACCATGTTTCCGAATCTTCCCCCCGTGGTTCCTTTTCTCTCTGTGTTTCGAATCGTTCCGCCTCCGCACATCCTTCGACTCTGATTTGGTAAGCCGAATGCGCGACGACATCAGTTGACGGTGTTCAGCACGTCATTGCTTTCATGCGCCTCTGCTTCCATCGGCAACATTAGAGCCGAAATCCCAATCTTTGTTCTTGGGTGTTCCCCTTGCCACTTTCCTTATCATAGTTTTGACGCGTCTCTCTCCCCCGCCGCTTTCCGGTGTTTCTCGTCCTTCGTTGCCGCAGATGTACAAGAGTCGCGACGTGCTGAACATTTACAACGGGCTGTGCACGACGGAGGTGAACCACGCGGTGGTGGTCGTGGGCTTTAACTACACCGGCCCCAGCCTCAACGGCAGCTACTGGATCATCAAGAATTCGTGGTTCGAGACGTGGGGCGACCACGGCTACATGTACCTCGCCATGACGCCCGACGTGCGCGGGAAATGCGGGCTGCTCTCGTAAGTGTCACGCTCCCTTTGTTTTCATTGCGCGGCGAAAGTTCTCGCGTAACCTTTGATGTCGTGGTTTGCCGGTTATCAACAGCATACCTTTTGCTCCCCACGTGCGTCCAATTCGCTCACCTCCCCCGCGCCTTGCCACCTCTTCCCCTTTCTCCGGGCAGAACCCCCGCCATGTACCCCGTCTACTTCCCATCGGGGCAGCAGCCGGCGCGCTTCTCGTCGGACAAGGGCGGCAAGTGGAAAATCAACAAAGTGGACGACCTCTCGTCGTCGCTCTTCTCCTCCACCCTTTCTTTCGACACCGCCACAACCACCATCACCACTACCACAACCTCCGCTACGGTTGCGTCGTTCAGCGATCCGACGATCACCGATTCCTCCTCTCTGCTGATTGGATCCACCACTGGATCCACCATTGGTTCCACTACTGGTTCCGCCACGTGCCCGGGGATGATCAACCCGTGCGGCGGGGGCAGTTGCTACATGAGCGGCGGGGTTCCGCGGTGCAACTGCAGTGCGGTAGCGAATATGGTTGAGATGTTGGGAGTGCCAACGTCCAAGTGCGTGCCGCGAAGTCCCTGCACGACGGCTCTCGTGAATCCCTGCGGCGGCGGAACTTGCACGGATGTGGGCGACGGGACGTACACATGCGCGTGCACTGCGGGTTACGCCATCGGCGCTGCTGTCGACGGTTCGCCGACGTGCATGCCTGCGGCTGGACTCGCGAAATCTTATGTTACCCTCCCTGGCGACAACTGCACTGCGGTCGCGACAGCTTTCGGCATTTCCACCACTACACTGACAAACCTGAATACTTTCATTAACTGCTCCGTTACAGAGTACCTTCCTCCCGGAATTGCACTTACAGTGTCGGGAACAGTCACTTCCTTATCCTCATATTGCACCAACACATACACCGTCCGGCCTTCCGATACCTGTTCATCTATTGCAAACGCTTACTTCAGTGGTTCACTGACTGCACTTGGTGCAATCAATCCTGGCTTATCGTGCAAACGCCTGTTCAAGTCACAGCAAGTATGTCTTCAAATGGTTTCGGCATCTTCTACATCTTCAGCTACACAATGCGGGCAGAGTGTTGCAGTGGCCATGGGAGACACGTGTGCTTCGCTCTCAGTTAAATATGTCATCAGCACCTCAACTTTTGTAAAGTAAGTTCAATTAATCCCCGCCCCCTTTTATTCAGTCTTCGACGTTCTTCTTCTTTACCTCCTAAACCCACTTGCAACTTAAGTTGACATACAAATCTCGTTTACACTTCTTCATATTTCTCATTTTCTCTTTCCTTCGTCTTCTCTGCAGCCTCAACCCAGGTATCAACTGCAACAGCGCCCTCGTCGTGGGAAGCTACGTGTGTGTGGCGCCCAAATCATCCGCTGTAAGTTTCAGCATCACCACTAACACCAACCTGCTTTCCTCTATCACCTCCCGTTGGTCTTACATCTGATTCGAGTGCCACTGAACTTGTCACGTCATTCAGTCTGTCCACTGCTATTTCTGCTCTGACATATTGCCTCTTCTCCATCTCATCTCTGTATCCCCTTCCCCCCCCCCCCCCAACCTCTCTGTGTGCAGACCACCATCAACTGCACGGGGTGGTACCGGGTGATGCAGGGCGACACATGCCCCTCCATCTGGAATGGAGCCAACCTCACCATGTCCATGTTCCAAGCCATCAACCCAGGCATCCAGGTAACTTTCATCCACATTGCCCTAAACTCTGGCGTCCAGGTAAACCCTGAACCCTGGCAGCCAGCTACTTCTATCTCGGAACCCTCATACATCACCACATACCATTCCCGTACAAGCACATACTGCCCCATGCCAACCAAACGGGCACGTGCCGTGGCCTACCCACCCCATACGGGAGCCAGCTTCCTTACCTCTCTCTCCCTTTTTGTTTCTCCCCCCTCGTCGTGCAGTGCCAGGCTCCCTACCTTGGCATTGGCCAGCAGGTCTGCATCGACTCGCCCATCCTGACCACCATGCAGCGAACTCCCAACGTCTCCTATTCCATTTACACCGTCCGCCCCGGTGAAACCCTCGCCGATATCTCCTCCATCTACGTCCCCCGCTGCACGCCCACCTCCATTTCACCTGTCAACATTGCAGCAGCAAATTTCATTGTCAATGCATCAACACCGCTTGTTCCTGGCACGCAGCTGATCATCCCCTGTATTGGCCGCATCGGTATAGTCGACTGCGGTTGCGCAGCGTCTCTCCAAGTGTGTGGGGCTGACATGGTGACTTACCCGTCCTACTGCGATGCCCTCTGTAACTACGCCGTCCCGCTCATCTCAGACGTACCTTGTGTCGGCGGGTGTGTCAGCGCTTGTTTCAACCGCATGGGTCTCGCTCCTCTTACTGGTTACGGCTGTACCCATGCCATCTGCCCGTACCCCTCATGGCCATTTGAAGCTCCTTCGGATTGCTCGATCATAGTTGGGAATGTCACAGGTCCGTGCTGCACGTACAGGCGGAATTCTTGCGACCAGGAGTGCACTCAAACTGCTGCTACGCTCGGGGGGACAACGGCTCAACGCACTGCCAACTACAACTCCTGCTACAGCCAGTGCATGTGCTGCACTGCCAATTCCTGCGGCGCTGGCTCTTGCAAGGCCCCCTCATCCTGCTGGTCGGCCAGTCCCCGTCAGTGCATCTATGCCAACTATCAGTACACGTGGAACTGTACCTATTTCCCCCCTGACAGTCCTCTTCCTTAGCCGGGTCCTCCTGCATTCTCGAATTGTTTTTCAACATGACTGCCTTTTCTGTTTTAGATAGCCAATAAAAATGCTGCACATTAACATAGAGAAGTTGTACATTAATGCGCTACTGCAAGATATTTTATTGTAGCACTGTTTTTCCACAAGTTGTAGGTTTTGTACATATGGCACTAATCATCACAAGGATTTTTTCGTTCCGTACTGCCATGTCTGATGTAATTACATTGCCTCTTGAACTTCAGAAGTACGGTACAGGTGCAGCCTCCCTAGACACCCAGGCTAACCTCTGTTTCTATACCCGTAGCAAACCTTTATTCTCAAGGTTCCTGCCTGGCTAAGTTCCCTGTATCTTTTTGTCAAGGCATTGACTTGTGAAATGATTTCTTGTACTCATTTTTCATTCTGCACATTTTCACTAATAGCTGAGAGTTACCGATTCTGTTATAGCGAGTATTGCGAACTTATCTTCTATTGGACGATGTACTTCAAAACTTCGCCGCCTGCTTCGCTGGCAAAGCTCCGCCGCAAACTTGGGGTACATGGTTCTCCAATCGGGGAGACTTTCGTTTCATCGGACGGTCAGCAGAACCTGGATTCCAGCTCCGGTGGGACCATCTCGCCCTTCTGCTCCAGCTGCTAGGCCTTTGTCCCTTGGCGCAGGAAGAACAGATCCTTCCTGTCTTGGTGAGCTGGAAGGTTGGACCAACTAGGCTGAGCAGAGCACGTGCTTCAAACGAGGATCACGCTTTTTGCCGCGTCCTCCACAACACAATGCATCCTCTCCTTCACAAGCATTTTCTCCCTTACCGTGTGCCACTCACCAACCTGTCCACGAGCATTGTTGCTTCCTGGGATCCAAGTCAGGCGGTGTTGTGCTTCGCTCTTTGATTTGATCCACGTTGCGAAGTATTTTCAGCCATGGCTACTTTCGCAGAAGCTCCTGCTGGTAACCCCGACGCTGGAGCTAAGATCTTCAAGACCAAGTGTGCTCAGTGCCACGTGGCAGAAAAGGGTGGTGGTCACAAGCAAGGTAGGACGATCGGTTAAGGAACAAATATCTTGACCTTAGTCGGTTGACACGCGAGCCTTACGCGAGCCATCGTGGCATTTTCGATCGCAGGTCCGAACCTGGCCGGGCTTTTCGGCAGGCAGTCTGGAACCATTGAGGGTTATTCGTACTCAAATGCCAACAAGAACGCTGCAGTTCTGTGGGGAGAGGAGACCCTTTACGACTACCTTTTGAACCCTAAGAAGGTACGTAGGCTTCTGCCTGTGAGATGACCTCTTTCGTTTTGGCTTGCAGTGCTCTTTACGTCTGAGATCCGTGGATCGAACCCGAGCCCTATGTGTTTCTACCCTATCATCCATCGTTTGTCCCCCGCAGTACATTCCCGGCACGAAGATGGTCTTCCCAGGTCTGAAGAAGCCTCAGGAGAGAGCGGATCTGATTGCTTTCTTGAAACAAGCCACTGCGTGAAAAGAAAGGTAGCTTACTATGTACTCCCATTCATTCTAAGATCGTTTTGACTTCCAATCTTAGGGACATCAATAAAGAGCTAGCTGACCAAGAGCACTAAATAGCCCTGCCAACTAGTGCCATGATCATATCTACATACTGATGCTTAGTGGCAGGCATGGCAGCCATAGCACAACGGACCCTGAGCCGCTAAATGTTTCACAAGGGTACACATGGAGCTCTTGAATAGTAATATGATTGGACATGCTTCAAAACGAGTTTGCAGAAAAGCCAAACCTCAACCTTCAAGCTGACCAGGGTATGACCTAACAACCAGCACTGGAGTCATGCGCAGACGCAAGATGAATAGCACAATATCCCTGAGGGCTACAACTCCGGAGGGCATTCTTCCGCAATCACCGTGAGTGTGTTGATGTCAGATCCCATCATGATTGCCCTGTCATTGGCTGCCATGTGGCGGATAATCTTGTACACTGTCTCAATCTGATAGCAAGGGATTACAATGGAGTGACCAGAAGCAGAGGCAGAGGATGTCCAATTTGAGTGAAGCGTTGAAGTGAAGGACACCCACCCTTCAGCGAGATAACTGAGAACAGACAAGAACAAACATGCTGATGCCATGTGCGAATCCAAACCACCTCAAGGACCTGATGTGCTCAGCATGCCTGATTGCCATGCTGTTACCGTACATGTGATACGTGCCAACTACGTGCATTGTGTGATGCGTGCCAACTACGTGCATTGTGTGATGCGTGCCAACTACGTGCATTGTGTGATGCGTGCCAACTACGTGCATTGTGTGATGCGTGCCAACTACGTGCATTGTGTGATGCGTGCCCCCCACTATGTGTGGCAAATGCCTTTCTTTTGCTGCTACCTGTAAAACCGCACGTTTGCCCCACACCAACGAATGCACATGCACACTCACCATGACTCTCCCACTCACTCCAAATACCCAATTCTCTGATTCAGCATCTGCACTCTCACCTGTATCAACTTTTACACTCTCACCTGCTCCTCTGCCCTTGCACTCTCACCTGCGCCTGTGCATGAGCACGCGTGGCAATCTCCTGGATGGTAAGAGCTTCCACTGGGTTCTTGCAGCTGAGCACAGAAACACGAGAGTGGCAAAGGCAAACATGAGAAACACGAGACTAGAGTGAGTGAGTGTGACATTCCGGAGGACTGCTGAATGGTGAGAGCTTCCACTGGGTGCTTGCAGCTGAGCACACAAACACGAGTGTAACAAAGGCACGTGTGAGAATCGCATCGAAATGAAACGCGAGTGACAGCCTTCCTCTTTGATACTGAGAGCAGATAACCGCGCAGGGAATGTGTGGTAACCATGGGCAATAGTGAAGATAAAAGCGAGTGAAGGCGAGAGTGAATACGAAAAGGCATGAGAGTAAACAGGCCCATGTGCGAGCTGTGGGTTGCAGCCACGGATGAGTCACGGGATTATTGTACAATCACCCTCTGATTACCCTTTCCTGTTCAGAAACAGCCCCAACCCGCCCCCCCCCCCCCCTCCTCTACACCCCTCCACCCCAAAAAACAGCCCTCCGTCTTCCTACCCCCAGCTGCATCCTCTCCCTCCAACCAACCCACCTTGCACCAGCCCTATCACCTCGCATCGTTGATCACTGCCTGCACTCTCACCTCGCATCGTTGATCACTGCCTGCACTCTCACCTCGCATCATTGATCACTGCCTGCACTCTCACCTCGCATCATTGATCACTGCCTGCACTCTCTTCTGCAGCGTCAGCACCTCTGCTGCTGCCTTCTTGCCCGCCTCCACTCCTGCCGGCACAGCAACGCATTGGGAGCATGGGCATGGGGCATCGGGTACGCAGCATGGGTTAAGGCCCCATGGCACGCACATACAGCATAGTGGTCCATGGGTCATGGTGCATGGCGCATTGTGAATGGGGAATGGGTCATGATGCGTGGCGCATGGGGGTGCATGGGTCATGGTGCATGGCGCACAGGGCATGGCGCATGGCGCATGGGGTATGGGACAAGGCGGATGGGGCTGGGACATGGAGCATGGGAATGGGGTTAACATGACACACACATACCTGGTTGGTGGTACGCGTTGACGTTGATGAGTGAGGCATACAGCCCTGTGGCGCGCTCATAGAGAGCAATGATGGCGCCCACCGTCGCTGCATCCACGTCCTTTATGGTCAGCGTGATGGACTCGCGCTTGTTGGCATACAGAGCAGAGCGCGTGCCCTGATTGGGTAGACGGGAGAGAGGGGGGAGTGGGGTATGGGTAGATAGGGGGGAAGAATGGTGAACCTGGTCCCCCTCAGCCAGAATCACACCTTCTCGCCTTCCTTTCCCCCGTCCCCATCAGCACCCCTTCCATTCACCTTCCATACTCACACCTGCCCTTCCCTCCTCCCCACCTGCAGCAGTCCAAAGAGGTAGTCCCGCAAATGACCCCCCGCTCCAGCCCCCAGTCGCGCCAGCTCTGCCGATCCGGCAGCCCCCCACCCACATCTCACAAGTACCCCTCCTTTCCGCGCGTTCCACACCACATGCACTCTTTCCCCATGCCCAATCCCCCCTCCTCCCCACCTGCAGCAGGCCAAAGAGGTAGTCCCCGCAGGTGACCCCGGGCTCCAGCTCCCAGTCGCGGCCGCTCTGCCGGTCCGTGAGCACCTCGATGAACGTGGCAAAGAAGTTGGGCACACCCTCTCTCAGCTGCTGGATGTACCTGGGGTTGGAGCAAGACGGGCGGGGTGAAGTGGGGGAAACGGGGGGATGGGTGCGGAATGGGGAAAGGAGTTAGAGGGGGGAAGGGTGAAGAAGTCGGGCATGCCCTCCCTCAGCTGCTAAATGGGGGATGTACCTGTGCAGGGGAGCGAGAGGGATGGGGAGGGGGGTGGTCATCGGAAAGGGGGCGTGGAGAAGGGGGTGTGGAGTGGTGGGAGACATGGAGAGAAGCTGTTTTTGGGGTATATCTGCAGCGTGTATTGCAATAAGAGGGGCGGGGGGGGGGGATTGAGGGATGGATGAAGGGGGGAAGGGAATGAAGGGAGAAGGGTGGTCCGCTGCAATGCTAAGTCAAGACTCAAGAACAATGGCTGATAAATGCACTCCTCCGCCCACACCCGCACCCACTCCCCCATCGGTACAATCAGCCAACCCCATCCACCCATCCCCATGCGTCCATCCCCACCATCCCCATGCGTCCATCCCCACCATCCCCACCCACTCCCACCCATCATCCGAGTCCAGTAGGCACTCACGCGTGCTGGTCTGTGCTGCCCTTGTTGCCATACACCGTCAGCCCCTGGTTCACCTGTGGGTAGGGGCAATCAGCGTGCACACAAGGGGTGGGATGCAGTTGAGAGGGGTGAGGTGGGATTACTTGGCACTATACTATGAGGCGTTGGTTCACCTGCATCACACAGCATGCAGCCACAACCCAGAGCACAGGACACCACGATGGGCTGTGGCAGGTGGGCTTTCTAGGGTTGCCGCTGCAGGCAACCCTTGAGTTGCCCCATCAGGCAATAGGCAAGCACTAGCACTCACCTGTTTGCCATCCAGATCAAACTCCTTCCCCACCCACTCCATAATGTGCTGCTGCTGCAGGTAGGCTTCTAAGAGATACAAGCACATATGAATCGCCCCTCAACAGGCAAGGCACGCACTAGCACTCACCCTCTTGCCATCGAGGTCGAACTCTTTCCCCACGGACTCCATGATCAGCTGCTGCAGGTAGCGGCTGAATAGCAGCAGGCTGTCCTTGTACGGTAGCACCACCATGTCCTGTGCGGTGCAGCACGGTGTGCGGGGGGGGCAGAGAGGTTACAGATGGGTCGCAGAGAGTCCACGATTCAATACTGTGCAACTATCACACGGGGGTTTGAGGGCAGCAGGCAGTCCTTGTACGGCAGCAGCACCATGTCCTGTGCGGTGCAGAGCGGTGCACAGGGGTGGATGGAGGGTGGTGCAGGGGCGGTGGGGAGGCTGTGAACTGCAATCTGGCATGCAAGCGGACATGTGAACTGAGACGCAGACTGACGCGCAAACTGAAACGCGGAGTAAAATGCAGGATCGAGTGGAGAGCCCGTGCTCACCTTGGAGCCAATGCCGTCACACCCCCAGTACCAGCAGAGCGCCAGGAGAGCCGCTGGGTTGCTGCGGATCTGAAACGAGTGCAGGGCGAGCAGAGATGGAGGGATATGGGGGCAGGGGAACGAGGCGAGGGTGATGTGCGTTCGAGGGAGTGAGGGAGGAGGAACAGGTGAAGGAAAGAGGTGGAAGAGGTGCGGGGAAGACGAGGAGATGCAACTGAGGAGGTATGAAGGGCGTTAAAGGGTATGAAAGGGTGTTAGGGGCAATATCAAGGGCATCAAAGGGATTGTACGGGCACGAGAAGTGTTTACTGGACAAACTGAGCAAGAGAGCAACTGAGATGGATCAAACAAAACCTTGTGGCACCACAACATGGCATGGTATGACATGGCATGTCACATCATGACTAAATGGCATGGCATGGCATGGCGCATCATATCATGGACATGGCTTGGATAGTGCTGACCTTGTGAATGCGTGTGGCCTCATCCATGGCGCCTGCTCCTCGCAGCATCTCACGGATGTTGATGCCCTGCCGCACACAGACATTCGGATACAGAAAGATGCATATGGATACAGATGGGTGCGTATGGGTGGTGGGTCCACAGCACATGAACAGGTAGAGACAAGGAACGCATAAGGACACACGTTAAGAATCAGCAGAATCGCAGGAGTGTGAAAACACTGACACCAAAAGACGCAAGCACACCCACAGATGGATTAACAGATGGGCACACACAGAGAGATGAAGACGTACGCATCCACACACAGCAACAAAAAATCACAAGCCATAATCACCCTGCCAGCAATAGAGCACGACACAGCAACCCAAGGCAACGCACCTGCAGGGCAGCAGGCAGGAGCCCCACAGCCGAGACCTCGGACGTGCGCCCACCAATCCAGTCGAACATGGGGAAGCGCGCGAGCCACCCCTCCATGCGAGCAGTGTCGTCCAGCAGGGACCCCCTCTGTGTGATCGCCACCCCCTGCCGGGCGAAGTCCAGCCCCTTCTCACGAAACACCCTCTGCACCTCCAGCAAGCCGTTGCGCGTCTCGGGCGTGCCGCCACTCTGTAATGTGGGAGAGGGTTGGGGGCGTTGGAGGTTGGGATGGGTGGAGGAAGAGGAAAGGGGGAGGGAGGGGGCATCATGAAGTGTGTGGAGTCCAGCCCCTTCGTCGCGGATCACCCTCTGCACCTACAAGAATCCGTTGTGCGTTTCCGGTGTGCCGCTGCTCTGGTAGTGTGGGGGGAAGGGGATGGACGAGAATGTGTGGTGGGTAGGGAGCAAGCAAGATGCATGGCAAGAGTGCCAGTCACTCTGATGGTGGTGGTGTTGGGGTGGGGTGGGGTGGGGTGGGGTCGGGCAGTGGGGGCACTTTGGTGGAGATGCGGAGCACATGTGGTGCAGATGGGGGCAGTTGCATAGTAGAGGGATGTGCTATGTGATGTGATGTGATGTGATGTGTGATGTGATGTGATGTGTGATGTGATGTGATGTGTGATGTGATGTGATGTGATGTGTGATGTGATGTGATGTGTGATGTGATGTGATGTGTGATGTGATGTGATGTGTGATGTGTGATGTGATGTGATGTGATGTGTGATGTGATGTGATGTGTGATGTGTGATGTGATGTGATGTGATGTGACGTGACGTGACGTGACGTGACGTGATAAAATGTGATGTGATGTGAGAATGGCGCTGCTTAGAGACGTGTCACCACAACCACGTGGGAGGGAGAGGAGAGGGCACCGGAATGCACCTTGGAGATGACGAGCACGAGCGTGGAGGAGAGCTCTGCTCCGATCTGGTCCAGCTGCCGATCGATGCCCGCCGGGTCCGTGTTGTCCACAAACCGCACCTGGGTGGAGGAAGGGGTGGGTGGGTGGGTGGGGGGTGGGAGAAGGGGAGGGGAGAAGAGGAAGGGAAGGAGAGAGCGAGCGGATGACACAATCGGATGGATACGCGTAGCTGGCGGTCGATGCCTGCCGGCTCTGTGCTGTTTACAGACCACACTTGACGAAAAGGGGAGCGGGGGAGGAGGAACGGGGAGGGGCGAGAGGGGAAAGGAAAGGGAGGGGGTTGATGACTGGGGCGTGAGGGAGAGAGCTGTAACTAACAGTCTGTGCGGCGAGGGGCTGAGTCGGGGTGCACAGGGAGGAGATTCGACTCGCACGACATCCTTTTCCGAGTCTGGCTGTTTCTCCTCCCAATGGTGACAAGCACGTTGAGAAGCGACAAGGGGGGTGGGCCTGTGATGTTGTTTGCTTGCCGTTGTAGGCGGATAAAGAAACTGCTTGTACCAATTTTGAGAAATGTTGACGAGTAATTTGTTGTCATTGTGGGCTTGTTGAGACACTGCCAGAACAGAGTGGAGCGGTGTGGACGCTTCCCTTGCTTGGCACCGTGTCTGCTTCTCTTTTGAGACGTCTCAAAAATTCACTTTTTACACGTGGATCCACCCGCCCACCCGCCCGCCCACCCAGCCACCCTCCCACAGACTCACCCACCCTGACCCTCTTGTAAATTTGTGGCTCTGGCTTGGCACCGTACCTGGAGCGGAGGGTTGGTGCCTGCGAGAGCCTCGGAGACGAATTGAGGGCCGAGAGCCGAGCCTCCAATGCCGACAGATAGCACCTGGGTGAACCGGCCGGCTGGGCATGGGGGAGGCTTTATCTGTTGATCGTGAGTGATGGGGGGGAGGGGCAATCGGGGTGAGAGGGGGGGAAGAGAGGGAGACGGCAGAAAAGAGATCACAAACTCGGAGGTGAGAGGAGAGGAGAAGCGAGGAGGTGCAAGAAGCATGAGGAGAGAAGGCGAAATGGGACTTCCCAACCTTCCAGACAGTCCCGCCTCCGTCTGCCGCCTCTCTTCCCCACCCCACTCCACACATCAGTGCCGTTGACAACAGCGGTGGCGAAGGCGTCACAGTGTCAATGGTCTCCTCGTAGCACTCCCCAACCCCTCTCAACCCTTCCAAGCCGACTCACTGCCATCTGTCCCCACCCCACGCACCGTGCCATTGACAACAGCGGTGGCGAAGGCGTCAACAGCATCAATGGTCTCCTCGATCTCCTTCCTGAGCGTGGGGCTGGCGGCGATCTGCGGCTTGCGCAGCCAGTAGTGCCCCACCATGCGCCTCTCGTCCGGGTTTGAGATCGCTCCCTTCTCCAACTCGTCCATCGCCTTGAACGCCGCCGCGAACTGCAGACAGCGGGGAGAAGGGACGACGGAGGGTGGGGAACAGCCGGGAGGAGAGCGGCGGAGAAGGTGGGGTGGAGGGGTGGGTGGGGGGAGGTAAGAGGTTGGAAGGGAGTGCTGGGTCAGTACTGGCCCGCAATGCGCCGCTCAACCTATGAATGCGTCAAGGAGCCTTTGCCTCGCATCTCACGGAAGCCTTGCCGCCTCGCGGCTCGCCTCGCCTCGCGTCTAACCTTGGGCTCCATGGCTTCAACGAACGCGTCCGTGACGCCCATGCGGCTGACGTCGAGCTCGAGCCCTAGGTGCCCATGCTTGTACAGCCACGCCACGTACCGCTCCCTCCCCATTAGCCCCGTACAGCACCCATAGGCGCTCCCGCCTCGCACACCGCGCAGAGGGTTGCTACCACTCTTCACAACCCCGTCAGGGGGCCTCATCGCCTCACTCACAACTAACCTTGGGCTCCATGGCCTGGACAAAGGCGTCCGTGACGCCCATGCGGCTGACGTCGAGTTCGAGCCCTAACGCTTCGTCCTTGTAGAGCCACGCCACGTACCGCTCCCACAGCCGCGCGGGATCCGTCTCCAGCTCCGCCTCCCCGTGCTCCGCCTTGAACGCGCGCACGTCCAGCGGCGCCTCCGCCGCGCTGATGCGCGGAGGAAGCGCAGAGCACGCGGGGGAAGGTCGAGGAGGGGGGATGGAGGGGGGAGGAGAACGACAGCGGGGCCGGATGGCGGGAGAAGGGAAGGGGGAAAGGGGGAAGGAGGGTGTGAGAATTAAGAGGCAGCGACGGCACGGGGAACACCATGGCTGGACAATGTCGGAAGGATTGTGGGATTATCTGAACCGCTAGAGTAGAACCAGCCATGCGAGCTCGCCAGCATGAAAGGTGCATCGTTAAACGCTGTGGAGTGGACTTTGAGTCGAACCGTACGAAACTCAGACGAGTGCTCTACTGCGGCAGGTTGGGACATGCAATGCAATTCGGCTGACAACAGGTTCAGTGGCACGTTGCAAGGAGCTGTGACATTCCTGGCCATGGTTGTTGAGTCTGTGTTCACGTGCCTGTATTCGCTTGCCTATGTCTAATCGCCTGTATTCACTCGCCTGAACGGAAGCGACTTCGAGTCGACTCAAAAGTCACATTCCTGGCCATGCTTGTCGAGACTCTGTTCATCCGCCTGTGTTCATTCGACTGAACAGACCTCTCTCACCGCAGATAGCAAGGAGGTTGACCAGAGAGCTCACTTTGGTGGTCAGGCCTGACCACCTCACTGGCTCGTTAGAATAGTAGGCTGGTTGAGTAATTACGCTATTGTGTAATCCTGTTGGGATTTTTTTGCTTCCATCTATTTCGTGGGCCAGCGACTCACGAAAGTCCAGGTATACGGATAAAAGCGTGTTCATAAAATTGTGCAGGTCCAGCTAATCTGCAAGGCAACCCACGTGGACTTCGCGGGTGTCGCGACGCTCCTCCGGCCGACATTGCTAGCGCGGTCCTGGCTCTGCAGCTGTTGGGGTGCGTGAGCGGCGGAGAGGCCAGCTGAAGGCAGCTGGCTGGCGAGAGGAAGCATTGGCGAGGCGAACGGCGCGCTCGTCACGGTCCGAGAGACTGCAGCCATCGGCGCGCTTGAGGCAGCCATGGCAGCAGCTGCGATGGAGCTGGTAGCCGCCATTTTACAATACGCGAACGCGGCTTAATAGCAAAAAAGAAACGAGCCCAATATGTCAAGCTCGAATTAGGACCGTGCTTGAGAGCTAGATTGACAGAAAGCTTAGCTTGAATTCAAGCCGCTATAAATGAAGTGCAGACCAGACCAGCCAGGACGAGTCACAGAATAACCTGAAGGTGGGAGATATGAATCCAAAAGAACAGGATGCATGTGGGGTGGAGGAATGGCGGTGGGGCAGATTCCAAAGCAGACACCCCGACAGAAGTGATTGTCCGTGGCAGCAAGCGAGAGATCTGCGATCAAGTAACCATATTTGCGAAGCGGCATGGTGTGTGGGTGTGGCTGAGATCATTCGCAAATGCTGACTGGATAAGGGACGGAAGCCAGATGGCAAACCGAGATGCTGGCAGCCTTGGAAAAAAGTGTCAGACAAGCTGGTTTGGATAAGGAGACTGTTTGGAACACTCTTTTCTAGAGCTGAACCATTGTACAACGGAGAGGAGATCAAATATAGCTAAACATGCTAATTCTGTAGCTTGCTAGGTTAAATAATTGTATTCAACGTTTTTGAAAGGACTATATATAGATTGATGTGGTTTTTCGTCCTCCTCTCAACAAAAAACACATCAACTATCTTTTTTTTCCCAAAATGGAATGAGAGTTTAATCACGAATCCCAAAAAGTGCATATTCATCTATACTGGATAAAATTCATTGATAATTCTGCATGAATGATAAAAAGGTTGCTTGAAACGGTAGTATTGCACTCAGTTCTTGAAATAATGATTTGATCTGAATAGCAACTGTTAACGAAGCACGGGATGCTTGTCAGAGAACTGACACATTCATTCGCGCCACTTGGATGTAAGCTCCGTTCCTAAGCGCTTTGTACGATGTCGCTTTCTCCAACCGTAGCCTGAACGTTCACACATGAACTGTGAACGAGAATCAGATGACAGTCTGCTTCTTGAAGAGGGAGTGTTTTGAACGCACCTCACATCGGATTTGGGATGGTCTGGAACACGCCCCTGAATCAAACTCAGTTTGAATCTCCCCATAAGGGCTGCATGCTTCTGGAGTCAGACCTTTGGTGATGGAGATTCCAGATTCCAGATTCGAGGTCTGCTAGCCGTAGAATACCACACCAGCACCCGCCTTTGTTAGTCCAATAGCGAGCCTGGTTTCCCTGGTCCGACCCATTCCGTTCCATTGTAATCGACGGTAGAGCCACCTAAGAAACTGCGAGCACATTCTTGAGCGGCGGACGATTTGTGGCAAGATCAGGAGCATCTGATCTCGATTCACTCACGCGCATCACATCGCATTAGAAACGAACGGTCGAGATGCAGCCGACAGAGGAAAGCCTCAAGTCGCTCGCGCAATGCTTCCTCCAGACGCTCGCGCCGGACCCCGAGCCGCGCAAGCAGGCGGAGAATTTTCTCAAGACGGCGGCGGGGCAACCGGGGTTCGGCATCACGGTGCTGGCGCTGATCGCGACGCCGGGAGTTGACGAGCAGGTGCTGCAGCCCGCCGCCGTCAACTTCAAGAACTTCGTCAAGTATCACTGGGCTCCAGTCGGAGCACGATCCGCTTGGCCACGTTCCCATCCAGGTATGGTTCGGCCGATTGGACCCTTATGAGAATTCACGTTAGTCAGTTCGTCAGGTACCACTGGGCTCCGTCGAAGCAGGATTCTCTCGGTCATGCTCCCATCCAGGTAAGGACGGCCGATTTGTCCTTCGTCGCCTGCCTTAGTGTGGCCGAATTCGCGAGACACTTGCGTTAGGGGGAAACTATCAAGGGCGGAAGGATCCTGGTCTGATGTTTTAGGACCTCATGATGCGCGTTGCATAAGATATTCGAAAGACAGAGGAACATAGAAATTCTTCTTTTGCTTTCCTCCTAACTCGTTGCGTGTTGACGTATCGTTGCTTTCCCGTTCCCATCAGGACGACGAGAAGGCGAAGATCAAGGAGCACATCGTGCCGCTCATGCTCTCCGCGCCGCCCAAGATCCAGGCGCAGATCAGCGAGGCGCTCTCCATTATAAGCACGCACGACTTCCCCGCCAAGTGGGAGAACCTCCTCCCGGAGCTTGTATCGAAGCTGCCTTCAACGGATTACGGCGTCCTCCTCGGAATCCTCGAAACGGCTAACTCCATTTTTAAGAGATTCCGCCACCAGTTTAAATCCGCGCAGCTTTATGCGGAACTTAAATACTGCTTAGACCTCTTCGTCGCGCCGATGCTAGGCGCTCTTTATAAGCTCAGGCCAGCTCATCGCAGCCAATCAGGACAAGCCGGACACGCTCCGCGTGCTGCTCAACTGCCAGCGTCTTATCTGCCGGATATTCTTTTCGCTCAACTCGCAAGAGCTGCCCGAGGTTTTCGAGGATCACCTACAGGAATGGATGGGGGAGTTCCATAAGTACCTCACTTATGAGAACCCGCTGCTGAACGAGAAGGACCCGGAGAAGGTGCGTGGAAGCTTCAAGTTTCTAGGGCAGCTCTGTGTTGTTTCAGTCACCCCCTTCTGCATCCCCTATTTCCCGATCCCTTCTCTGTCACCCCCTTCTGCATCCCCTATTTCCCGATCCCTTCTCTGTCACTCCCTCACACCACCCCCCCGTCCCAACTCCCCTTCTCGTTCCCCCAAACCCGTTACCCCAATCTCCCTCCCCGCGTCCGCGGCCTCCCCTTCTTCTTCCAGCATAAACCCTCCTTGACTTTCCCTGCAACCCGTCCCCCACCTCCTCCACCCACCCCTTCCCACCCGCTCCCCTATCCCCTGTCCCCAAAACCGGCTACCCTCGTCCCTCTAATCACCCCCTACCACCTTCCTGTTCTACGTCTCCCACCCTCCCGCCTCTGCGTTCCCTGCCCTCTCCCTCTCCCTCCGCGTCTCACTGTCGTCCGTTCCCCTCCCATCAAGTGCTTAAACCCTCCCTCCCTTTTTTTTGCCCCCTCTTGTCCCACACGCCCTCCACTCCCCCCACGCGCTTCCACGCCCTCCCCGCCCCTTCGCCATTGCAGGAGGGCATATAGGACCAGCTCAAGGCAGCCATGTGCGAGAACATCAACCTCTACATTGAGAAGAACGAGGAGGAGTTCAAATTCCCGACTTGCTTGCCCCTGATGCCTACTACTGGACTCCGAAGCACATCTCCTTCCCCCCACCTTCCAACCTTCCCCACCCCCTCATTGCAGGAGGGCATATTGGACCCACTGAAAGCGGCGATATGCGAGAACATGAATCTGTACATGGCGAAGAACGAGGAGGAGTTTAAAGACTTCCTGCGTGACCCCAGTACCCTACTGCCGCCCCCACCCCCCGTCCACCCTCCTCCGTCCTACTCCCCTGCACCCGTTTCAGGAGGGCATATTGGACCAGCTAAAGGCGGCAATCTGCGAGAACATCAATCTGTTCATGGAGAAGAACGAGGAGGGGTTTAAGGACTTCCTGCCCACCTTCGTGACAGACGTGTGGACGCTGTTCATCAAGCTCCCGCAGTCGCCCCAGCGCCTGGGCCCCTCCTTTCCCCCCCCCTTGGTTGAGAAGGGCGCTTAGGACCAGCTCGTGGCTGCCCCTGGCCGTTCCATCTCATGCCCTCCCCCCACTCTCCTTCCTCGCCCTCTTTCAGGAGGGCATTCTGGACCAGCTCAAAGCAGCCATCTGCGAGAACATCAATCTCTACATGGAGAAGAACGAGGAGGAGTTCAAGGACTTCCTGCCCACGTTCGTGACGGACGTGTGGACGCTGCTCATCAAGCTCCCGCAGTCGCCCGAGGGCCTGGGACCCGGGCGCGACCGGCTGGCCATCGTGGCGATCCGGTTCCTCACGACTGTGAGCCGCAGCGTGCACCACGCGCTGTTCAAGGACGCGGAGACGCTGCGGAAGATCTGTGAGGGGATCGTGCTGCCGAACTCGAGGCTGCGGGATGAAGATGAGGAGCTGTTTGAGATGAACTTCGTGGAGTACATTCGCAGGTGAGGGGCGCGGAGGGTAGTGCAAGGGGGTGTGTTGGCAGGTGGAAAGCAAGTGGGTGGGTGGCATGGCGTGTCAGTGTGATGATATGCTGGGTCGTTGGGTGCGTGTGTGCACCACGCGCTGTTCAAGGACCCCGACACGCTGAGGAAGATCTGCGAGGGCATCGTGCTGCCGAGGCTGAGGGATGAAAAAGAGGAGCTGTTCGAAATGAACTTCGTTGAATGCATTCGCAGGTGAGGGGCGAAGGGGGGAGGGGAGGGGGTGTGTAGTGTGGGTGTGTTTTGAGGCGCCTCAAGTCGTTGGCTGAGCAACGAGGATGAGGAGCTGTTTGAAATGAACTTTGTCAAGTATATCCGCAGGTGAGGGGCGAAGGGGGGTAAGGGAGTGGAGGGGGGGATGGAGAGTTTGTGTGCTTCATGTGCATTCGGAGGTGAGATGAGAGGCACGGGGAGGACTTTTGAGGCGCCTCAAAAGTTTGTGTGGTTCATGTGCATTCGGAGGTGAGAGGCACGGGGAGGGAGGTGTGTATGCCAATGCAAGGAAGCTGAATTCAAGCAGCATTGGCGAAAACAAGGAGCTGGGGAGGCAAGTACCCTCCTCCGTTCTGGTCCTCTCCTCTCTCCCTTCTCACCAAATCCACTCTTGCTCTGCTCTGCACCCTTTGTCTCGTATGCCTCCTTCCCCTCCTCCCCCTCCTCCCCCTTCAGTGACGTTTCATACAACTCAAGGCTGCTCTCCTCCCCCCCTACCCGTCCGCCCCAACCCCGTCCCCGCCGCCTGCCCGCCCGCAATACAGGGACATGGAGGGCAGTGACAGCGACACGAGGCGGCGAATGGCATGCGAGCTCGTCAAGGGTCTGTCCACGAGCTACGAGGCGGAGGTGACGCACCTCTTCTCACAGTACGTCAACTCGGAGCTCGCCCAGTACGCTGTCAACCCAGAAGCCAACTGGAAGGCCAAGGACACAGCGGTGTTCCTTGTGGTGGCGCTCGCTGTTAAACAGAAGACTGCCGCTGCTGGCGCCACGGCGACTAATAATCTGGTGAATCTTGGAGAGTTTTTCTCCGGGCAGATTCTGCCCGAGTTGCGCGCGGCGGACGTGAACGCGCAGCCGGTGCTGAAGGCGAACGCGCTGAAATTCCTGACCACGTTTCGCGGGCAGATTCCGAAGGAGACGTGCCTGGAGTTGATGCCACAGCTGCTGCGGTTTGTAGGGGCGGAATCGAATGTCGTGCACTCGTACGCGGCTAACGCTATAGAGAGGCTGCTTATGACGAGGGACGGCGGGCAGCTGAGATTCTCGGGCGCTGACGTGGCGACGTTCGCAGGAGCCGCTGCTGGGGGAGCTGTTCAAGGCGCTCAAGATGCCCGACTCGCAGGTACAGAGCGGTGGAGAGGGGTGGTGAGGATTTTTTGGGGGTTGGGAGGGTGAGAGGGAGGGGTAACAAGAGAAGTCGTGAGGTTGGAGGGGTGGAGGGAGTAAGAGGAGATTGTGAGGGGTTGGGAGACGGTGTAGGCTCGCGTGCGGGGCAGGCTTGCAAATGGGGTGGGGTGGGGTTGGGGGTGATGAATCAGCATGTGATGAATCAGCATGTGAAGAATCAGCATGTGATGAATCAGCATGTGATGAATCAGCATGTGATGAATCAGCATGTGATGAATCAGCATGTGATGAATCAGCATGTGATGAATCAGCATGTGATGAGGCTTGTTTTGTGATGCGGGTGGTTGGGGCAACGCAACCCAGGCCTGATACCCTGCATCCTTCCCCCCCATCCCTACACCATCTGCAACCAGTACGTGTTCAAGTGTATGATGCGGGTGGTTGATTCAACCCATGCCCGAAATCCCCCTTCCCTTCTCCCCTCTCCCCTCTCCCGCCTCTCCTCCTACCTCTCTTCCCGTCTCCCAGGAGAATCAGGACATGATGAAGTGTCTGATGCGGGTGGTCGGTGCATCCCAGGCTCGAAACGCCCCTCCCTTCCCCTCTCGCTCCCCTCACCTCCCTTCACCAACCACAGGAGAGCCAGTATGTGATGAAGTGTCTCATGCGGGTGGTATCCACTACATCAGCCCCCACGGCCATCTGGCCGCTCGCCCTGCCAGCCCTCGCCAACCCCTCCTTGAATTACTACGCCCTCTTTTAAGGCCGTGGCTGCACTCATAAGCCGAGCTGCACCTGGCTGGTTCCATCCAGGCCCAAATTCCCCCCCATCCATCCCTCACCGCCTCCCTCCCTCCTCCCCCCCCGTCCCCCCCCACAGGAGAACCAGTATGTGATGAAGTGTCTCATGCGGGTGGTATCCACCACCGCTGCTCCAGTCGCCATCCTGCCGCTCGCCCTGCCAGCCCTCGTCGCCCTCCTCACGGCCGCCTGTCGCAACCCCGCCAACCCCTCCTTCAATCACTACGCCTTTGAGGCCGTGGCGGCGCTCGTCAGGCGGGCGGCAGCGGAGGACGCACCTGGCCAGGTGCCTGTGTGTGAGGCGCAGGTGTTTCCTCTGCTGCAGCTCGTGCTCGACGCCGACGTGCAGGAGTTTGCACCGTACGCCTTTCAGGTGCGGTGACTCTGGCGTTCAGGTGGGTTTTCAGGTGGAATCGTCAGGTGGCTGTCGCATGTGGTCGTCACATCAGGTGGGTTTCCAGGTGTCAGGTGGGGTTAGGAGTGTGAGCTCAGGGCGTTCAGGGGGGCTAGGGGGGTCACTGGTGGGCATTGCATGGTGAGGTTTGCTCGTGCACATGGAAAGCCGTTCCGCGTTGCATCTGCCATTTTCCCATTTCCCATTTCCCGTTTCCCATTTCCCATTTCGCATTGCCCATTTCGCTGGCTCCACCTCTACCTCGAACTGTTTCCGCTCCATTCTCTCTCCCCTTGACGTTTTGTTCGCGACTCTTCTTCACCTCTCTCCTCGCACTGCTCATGGATAGCCGGTCACCCCCATCCCTGCTGCAGCCTCCACCAGCCTTCATTCCGCTCCTCCCTGCCCTCATTTCCACGTTCCCGCTCCTCTCCTGCCCCTCGCAGCTCCTCGCGCTGCTCATAGAGAGCCGCTCAGCCCCGCCCCTGCTACCACTCCCAGCGGCATACATGGCGCTCTTCCCCGCGCTCATCTCCCCCATGCTGTGGGAGCGAGCCGGCAACGTCCCCGCCCTCGTGCGCCTGCTGCAGGTAACCCTTTTGTCCTGGCCCACTGTCAAGCCGTCTCAAAGTGGCCCACTGTCAAGCCGTCGCAAAGTCGAGACATTTCACAAGCCGCTTTCCAATGCTGCTACCCTCCCCTTGTCCCTCCCTCCACTGGTCCCTCTCCGCCGCAACCTCTGAGAATTGATTCTGCCGGAGGAAATGTGAGGTCCCCTCACTCCTTCCGTGCCTCACCTCCATCTCGTCATTCCATGCTTGACCTCTATTCCATCCCCTCACTCCTTTCACTCACTCCCTCCCCTCGCCACCTCACCTCGCCCCTTCCGGTCGCCGCCTCACATGCCCACTATGCCCTAGCCTCATCCTCTGTAACCTTCTCTCCCCGTCTCTGTCCCCATCCCCCTCCCCCTTCTCCTCCCCTTCCCCACACCCTTCCCCCAGGCGTACCTGCAAAAAGCATCAAAGGAGATAGTGGGGGGAGGGCAGGTGCCGCCAGTGCTGGGAGTGTTTCAGAAGCTGATAGCGTCGAAGCACTCGGACCATCAGGGCTTCTTCATTCTCAACACCGTCGTGGAGCATCTAGACCATGCCGCCCTCGCTCCGTTTGTGCCCACCATCTGGAACCTGCTCTTCTACCGCCTGCAGGTGCGTGGGTGGGTGTGGTGCATGGGTGTCAATCTGTACAGAGTGGGTGTGTAGTGTGGTTCCGAAGGGTGTGTATCTTTGAATTGGTGACTGAGTGGGCGGGTGGTTGAGCGAGTGGATGAGTGGGTGCAGAGAGGTGCTGGTGGGTGGGAGTGAATGGTACTGAGTGGGAGGGCATGTGCACAATGTGGTCCACACTCCCGTGCCCACCATCTAGAACCTTCTCTTCTACCGCCTGGAAGTTGACTACTGAGTGAGTGGGCACGTGAATAGCGAGTTTGTGTCACGCGTCACGTCGTCTTCCCCTCCGTCTGGAGCCCACAGGGCAGCCCCCACCCGCTCGTGTGCCTCGTCCCCCTGCACGTGTCCCTGTCTCTCCCCCCTGCACGTGTCCCTGTCTCTCCCCCCTGCACGTGTCCCTGTCTCTCCCCCTGCACGTGTCCCTGTCTCTCCCTCTCCCTCTCCCTCCTATACCCTCCCCGCCTCACCCACCCCCCCACCCCCCCTCCCCCTCCAGAACTCCCGCACGCCCAAGTTCGTGCGAGGGCTGCTCATATTCCTCGCGCTCTTCCTGGTGAAGCACGGAGTGGCGCCCGTGGTGGCGTCAGTTAACGCCGTGCAGCCGGGCCTCTTCCTGCAGATCACCGCCGGGGTGTGGGCGCCTGGCCTGCCCTCCATCTGTGACGCCGTGGAGACCAAGCTGTGTGCCGTGGCGGCCACTGACGTGCTCTGTGAATGCAGCGACCTGCAGGTGGGTTGGGCTTCCAGGTGAGTGGTGAGTGGTGCCTGCACTGCACCCACCTGCACTGCACCTACCTGCACCGCACCCACCTGCACCGCACCCACCTGCACTGCACCCACCTGCACTGCAGCCAGGGTTTAGGTGTTGCCACAGCACAGTTCGCCCAACACACGTGTGCTGTGGCAGTTCACTGCCGTACCAACTCCTTCACCAACTCTGTTGCTGCATCCTGCTCCTATTCTTCCCACTCCTCCTCGATCGCCGTGTACCACTACTGCACTCCTCCACGATCGCCGTGTACCACTACTGCACTCCTCCACGATCGCCGTGTACCACTACTGCACTCTTCCCCCATTCCCCTCAGCCGCCTGGTCCCAGTCAGGCTGACTCTGCCCTGCTAGTGCAGCCCAGGGAGCAACGGGAGGCAGCACAGGCAGAGGACGCAGAAGCAGCGCTTGCCCCATCTCTCTCATGCACCTTCCCTCCTCCACTTCACCTCGTGTAACCCCATTCACTCATCCCATTCTTCCCCCATTCCGCCCCCTCTGCCCCCATTCCCCTCTCCCCCCGTCCCCCCACCCTTCCTACAGGCTGATTCCGCCCTGCCGACCTGGGCTCGTCTCCTTGACGCCGTTCTAACCCTGCTGGTGCAGCCCAAGGAGCAGCGCGAGGCAGCACAGGCGGAGGAGCCAGACGTGCCAGACGCAGAGGAGATCGCATCAGGGTATGCCGCCTCGTATGCCCAGCTGCACCATGCGGGGAAGACGGAGGAGGATCCAGTTAAGGATAAGACGAATGATGCGAGGCAGTATTTGACTGCGGGGCTGGGGTCGCTGACGGCGAGGAGTCCGGGGCGGTTTGGAGCGGTGATACAGCAGGGGGTGAGTGATGCGAACAGGGAGGCTTTGGCGCAGTTCTGTGCCGGTTACGGGGTAACGCTTGCGTGAGAAGCATGAGAAGAGGGCAGGTGCAGCAGCGGTGTGTGTAAGAAGAGCAAGAAGATTTACCAGTAGGTGGGTTGTGGATGCAGAGCAGAATGCAGGTGATTCGGAGGACCAAGGGAATGTGGTAAGAGAGCTAAACGTGCTACTCATTGGGCCGTTATGGTTTAGTGGAGCGTACTTTTCATTCTTCGTTGTTGGAAAAAGGTGCTGTGCTGTGCTGTGAACTCAGATGAACCTATATCAGCACCTGTGGCATATTATGAGTGCGACACCACACCATACCATACCATACATTACCATAATAAGATATGTGCAGTGCGCTACTATTCTGCAGACTATCTACCCATCTGTGCTAACTTTGTTCTTGAAGGAAACAATAAAACGAATTGTGATGGAAATCAACAATGATAAAAAGGAACAAAAGAATGTACGGTATCAGCACGAAGTTGAATTAAAAACACGACAGAACCTGGTCCCAGTGCAGTCAGTTTGAGCTGCACACATGCACACTAGCATAGCAAGCCCCATGCACATACATCCAATCCAACAGCCAGGCAAACAGCAACCAAAGCAGAGGCGGCACCCCCACAGGCAGTCATAGGGCCCTTACAGGCATCCCTTACAGGCATCCCTTACAGGCAGCTCTTACAGGGAGAGCTCATAAGGCAAGGGTGTGGCAGCAGGATAATAGGTGCAGATGGACGTGTAACCAATTCCCATGGCGTACGCACAATTGCACGGCGGGTTAAACCAGCAGGCGGCTGTTACAGGCAGCTCCTCCTCAAGGCAAGGGACTAGCACCAGGGTAGTAGCTGCAGATGAACGTGTAGCCCACTCCCATGGCGTACGTGCACGTGCGAGGAGAGGTCTGATAGCACGCGTTGTTCCACGTGCTGCACGTCCAGCTCCCCCCACATGGGAACGTACCGCAGCACATGCAATTGCCCATGCAATTGTTGTAGTTTGTGGTCTTGGTTGAGTTGGTACCGCCTAAAGTATCAGCAGTTAGGCCGCACTGCTTCACACAAGTCGTTTTCCGGTAATTGCAGCAGGGTGCAGTGCCGTTGTTGCCATCTCCTAGAGTGCAGTCTGGACTTCCCATCCAGGTTGGGTACGGGCAGATGGCTTGGGAGCAGCCGAACGAGGGGGCCGGAGCCAGCCCCATGCGACCAACGCACGCCGCCCCACACTTGTCACACGGGTTGTTTTGGAATAGTGAAAGGCCGTAGTTAACTGCTGCATGGCAGTACGACGGGTACGAGACGAAATCCGCTCCGCACACTGTGAGAGAAATTGCACAGCCGCCGTCAATCATACCGACGCCGCCAATACAGGGGATGATGAGGTTGGTGCCGATTGGGAGCGGTGCAGAGGCAGTTGGCGATGAAGTTTTGGGCGGCGATGGCAGCGGGGGAAACGGAGAGTGTTGTGCAGCGGGTGAGGTACTGGGTGGAGATGGAGGAGAGGGTGTCATTGGCACGGACGGTGTATATAGAGTAGTTTGCGTTTGGGTTTCGCTGCATGGTGGCGAGGACGGGTGCATCGATGCAAACTTGCTGGCCCACCACCAGGTAGGGCGCCTGGCACTGCACAAGGGGACACGAGAGGAGTGAGGAAGAGGTGGACATGGAGTTTGAAGTTGCAAACGGGGGTGGGGATGGTGGTGAGGAACAATGTAGGCAAGCATGGCATGCAAGAAAAAAAAAAAAACCTGAGGAAATAAGCCATCAGTATATACAATAACTATTCCAAAAGGGGCAATACGTGAAGGTGCAAGGAAGGTACCCGGATGCACGGTTAGTGGTTTACCTGGATGCCCGGATTGATGGCTTGGAACATGGACATGGTGAGGTTGGCTGCATTCCAGATGGAGGGGCATGTGTCGCCCTGCATCACCCGGTACCACCCCGTGCAGTCAAGGCTCGTCTGCACACAGGCACAGGGAGAATACGGATGGAGAAGGGGGGAGGCAGAGGGGATAGGGGGATGCAGGGGAGATGGTGGGGGGGGGGGGGGGGCGGGGGGGAGCCAGAGATAGTAACCCAGTTCAGTTGATGGTTGCGGGGAGCAGGGCGGTATGGGGGTGCGAGAAGGGGAAGGGAGAGTAAATTGCATGCTCTGTCAAGGGAAAATGGACACAAGAGGTCGGGATTCACACAGTACGAGGTGATCAGTGAGAGATGAAGAGAAGGCATCGTTTTGGCTCTTACCAGAGCTGATTTTGACGCCACACAGAGAGAGGAGCCGGCCGCAAGCGTGCTGTTGCAGTTGACTGCTGGGTTGAGCCTGCAGGAGAGAGGAATTGCAGGAAAAGGGACTTCATGGCTTGAGTGACCGTGGATACGTGGGAACCCGGGGAATTAGAGGGGGCCAGGGAAACAGAGTTGCAAGTGGAGAAGGGGGAAGCGGCGAGGGTGGAATTTGCAAACCAGCTTGTACGACAGTTGCGTAGGATAAGTGTGGAATACTCACGATACAACAGTTGCGTAGTCAACTGCATATTTAAGGGCAACCGATGCACAAGTGTCTCCCGTAACCACGTCCACGCTTTGCCCACACTGCACAGCCGACGATGTGGCTGATGCGGTAACCATTTGGAGGCATATTTGCTCCGACTTGAACAAGCGTTTGCACGATAAGCCAGGGTTGCTTGCCATAAGGGAAGTGAGTGATCCGTTGAAGAAAGTGTTTGCTATAGAAGTGCAAGTGTCCTGAGGTCGGACAGAGTAAGTGTTGGTGCAATAGGAGGATGTGGAGTTTAGCGTTGTCGATACTGTAAGTGCAATTCCAGGAGGGAGGTATTCTGTAACGGAGCAGTTGATGAAGGTGTTCAGGTTTGTCAGAGTGGTGATCGAAATTCCAAAAGCTGTCGCGACAAACGTGCAGTTGTCGCCAGGGTTGGTAACATAGGATTTTGCAAGGCCAACCGCGGGAATGCACGTCGGCGAACCGTCGACAGCAACGCCGATGGCGAAACCCGCAGTGCACGCGCACGTGTACGTCCCGTCTCCCACATCGCTGCACGTTCCGCCGCCGCAGGGATTCAGAGGAGCCGTCGTGCAGGGACTTCGCGGCACGCACTTGGACGTGGGCACTCCCAACACCTCAACCATATTCGCCGTCACGTTGCAGTTGCACCGCGGAACTCCTCCGCTGATGTAGCAACCGCCCCCGCCGCACGGGTTGATCATCCCCGGGCACGTTGTACTTTGCGTGGTCGTACTAATAGTGGTGGTAGTGGTGGTGGTGGTGGTGGTGGTTGTGGTGGTTGAAAGGGTGGAGGAGAAGAGCGACGACGAGAGGTCGTCCACTTTGTTGATTTTCCACTTGCCGCCCTTGTCGGACGCAAAGCGCGCCGGCTGCTGCCCGGATGGGAAGTAGACGGGGTACATGGCGGGGGTTCTGCGCGGAAACGGGGGTATGGTGAGAGGAGAGCAGAATCTGGTTAGTAGATGGACAAAAAGAAAAACGTCGCACGGGCAGGCGAGAAAGGGAACAAAGGGCGTGTGATTTGGAGGGGAGCGGCGAGACAGGGAGGAGAGGGACCAGCGAGACAGGGCAGGCGTGAGAGATCGCGCACGCGACAGTTGAGGCGGGGAAACAGGGAGGAGGGAGAGGCGCACGCGAATTTGGAAACGATTCTGCACGAATTTTCAAGCGCGCATTCTTACCGCGCGAAATAGTCACTCGAAAGAGCAGCGAGCGAATCGTGAGAATCAAAGAGAGGAGTGAAGAATCAGTGGAATTATGGAGGAAGAAAAGCTTGAAGGGTAGGACAGGCATTGAAGGGTACTTCAGGGTCTGGGAGCACATGCAACAGTATGCACGACGGAGGTAGGAAGACAGCATGTCGGGGAGACGCGAGACGCGCACGCGAAAGTGGCGACAAAATCGTTACCCTATTGCACTTGCCAGAGCAGCCGCATTTCGCGAGCACGAGTGGACAGTGGGTCAAGGAACGTACGATAGGATGCCGCACTTTCCGCGAACGTCGGGCGTCATGGCGAGGTACATGTAGCCGCGGTCGCCCCACGTGGTGTACCACGAGTTCTTGATGATCCAGTAGCTGCCTTTGAGGTCCGGCCCCGTGTGGTTAAAGCCCACCACCACCACCGCGTGGTTCACATCCGTCGAGCACACGCCGTTGTAGATGTTGAGCGCGTTGCGGCTTGAGTACGCCTGCACGTGGAGACAGGGGGCGACAGGCACGGGAAACGCGGGGAGTCGCGAAGTGGTGCGGGTGGGGAAACTCGGGAAGTCGCGAAGCGGCGGTGCGAGTGAAGAAACGCGGGGAATCGGGAAACGGAAAGAAGGGAGTCTGGGAACAGTGAGCTGAAAAACGCGGGAAATTGAAGCGGTGTGAGGCAAATCGGAAGCTCTGTAAGCGGAGAAAAGCGGGGAATTGGGAAACGGTGGGAGCGTCGGTGCGCAGGGCGCAGGAAGCGTCGGAGGAAATGCAGGGCGCGGAGCGAAGGGCGTACGGTGAAGTCGGCGGCGGAGGCGCTGATGAAGGCGACGACGGGCTGCATGCTGACGGCCTTCATGAGCGCCATGGCGTTGAATGCCGGCACCAGCTCCCATCCCGTGATCTGCGCCACGGACGGCATGGATGCGTCGAGCAGACACGTGGCGGAATCGTAGGCCTGGTAGGGGTAGTTGGCGTTCGTCGTGACACCCCCGTTAAAGAGCACGTAGGAGAAGGCCCACTCGGGCCACCCGCCCTGGCAGCACTGCTTCGTCGCGCAGTCGCACACCTGCTGCGGCGACAGATTCGTCCCGACGCCGTTGTTGGCGATCGCCCACATTATGGCTATGGAATCGACGGCTGAGATCGCCCAGCAGCTTGAGCACTGCGGAGAATGTGAGGAGATCAAGCGGCGGGTCTGGAGCTGAGTAAGAGCAGACTAATATCTAAAGCACGATTATATAAAAATCTGTGCAGCAAACACACCAGTTGCACATCGCCCAACTATCCGCGCTAGCAAGCACATCAGGGAAAGCAGTCGAGGGTGGAGCCGCAAGTGCAGTACCCACCACGTATTGCGTCTGGATGGGCGTGATGGCGACGGACTTCCGCCAGTCGACGACGGGCGGCGGCGCGACGCTCTCCCAGCGGTAGAACGACATGTTCACCGTCGCCATGCTCGGCCCCGAGCTGAGCGGCGGCGCCGACAGACCGAATTTCACTCCCGTGTCCACCAGAATGCGCTCGCCGCCCCGGCCGACGCCATCGCCGCCTTCCAATTCGCGGCGTTCCGCGTCGCGAGCGGCTTCGAGAATGCGGTCCGCGTGCTGCCGCCTCTGCTCCTCGGAAAGCTCCAACCTCTTTCGCATGGAGATCTCGAATTGCGTGGGCTGCGCCGTGGAAGCGTGGGCGACGTGGCGTGGCATGAACTCTTGAACGAGTGGGATCAGGATTACAACGAACACGACCGCCATTAGTCGACTTCTGTCCGCCATCTCGCACGTGCGCCTTACCCTACACACTATCTAGCGTCTCGAAGGTAGAGACGCGGATAAAGTGTATCCCACTGGGAGGAAGAAACGCACCACTGCGACCACTGGATAAACCCTTGGATTTCAGTGGTGTAATAGGTGCGTTGTAAGACGTCCCAGAAAGTGGCTCTTCATGCTCGGCTCTCGCGGGTTGTTCAGCAGGTCACGCGCGACTCTTCCGCAATCACTCTGCAGCCCAGTTTCGTTGTGTGGACTGCCTTGGCCCTACCATCCAACCCCTTGGTTGTGATTCGGCCATTATCTCCGATACTCAGATTTTGCCTGAGCGCGTTCTCAGGTGTAGTCACCAACAGAATCATGGTTTCTCGATATAGTGAGAAGCCTTTCTGGATCATGTTTATATACAGTCACTCAATAGAAATGATTTCAGCGCTTGCAAAAAAGTATAAAACTTGTAGCGAACCTAGATGATTTCTGGGAAGGATCAACCCTAAATACCAAAAGCCCCCAATATTTTGGAAAACATATTGCAACCCACTTGACAGAAAAAATAAAACCCAATCGGAAAGGGATGCGACTCGGGAGGCATCAGCCCTAAAAACAATGCCCATTCCCGTATTTAGGGTTGACCCCTCTCGAAAATGCATCCAGGTTCCCTAGGGGTTTTATTGTTTTCTGCCATGCCCGAATAGTTCTCGGTAGCGTCGTCTAGTTCTTTCGGTAGCGTTGTTTAGCGGTCGGTTGCGCTACCGAGCACTACCAAGTGAATTATATGGGCTTCATTCTCTTACTACCTAAATCTCCGTTCTTATATCCAAGTCGGGAGGGTAAACTGGATGGTTCTGTTTTTGTCACTTCCTAATGAGTTCGACCAGCGTGAGAAATGTGACTATAAATCGATGACCAATCAACGTTGAAAAAGTCCAAGTTGATCACACCTGAGAACGCGCTGAGGCAAAACCTGAGTATCGGAGATAATGGCTGGTTGGCATGGTAATTTTAGCAACGTGGCGACGTTTGGGACGCTATGCTTCACTATGGGGGGATATTGTGTGGCGAGTAATGAACAAGCGGTTTGTCCTTGAGAGCCGGCAGAGAGGCCAAGAGTCAGAGGCGCGAGGCTGTCAGTTGGGCTGCCTGAAAATTGGTCCGATTTTGTTGTGGCCCAAACGAGCCCAGAATCAGAGCAGTGTACACCTGGCCCGCGATAAGGGCGTGGGCCCAAACGGGTTTGATCGCGAGTAATCTGATCGGGGCAGATCTGATCGGGTTGCTTGTGATCGCAATGCCCGAGCCGCCCGATCAGTAATGTTTTTCTTAGAATTTTTTTCGTGAGCAATCTTACGGGCTGCTCAGCAAGCGGGATTCAATTACCTGGTATTTTCGTGGCAGCCTTAGCGAGACTGGCGACCAGACGGCTTCTGGCGAAACTCTCTGTATCCAAGTAATAGTGTAACTTTCCGGGGTGTTCTGTATAGGCTGGACATCTTCGCGAGGGGTTGACGAATCTCAGTAATACAGTGTAACTTTTCGTCAGTATCGCGTGGTCCCCGATCACCCACGATCAACTGATCGTGGGTGATCGAAGAGAATCGACTATGACCGGGGGGCTAATCGGGTCTGATCGAGTTGGGGCGATCAGCTGATCGCGATCAGCTGATGCCCCTGATTGCCTGAATTGGCCTCCAGGCGGCCTGGAAAGTATTGATCGCGGCTGATCGAGGCGACCAAACCCGTTTGGGCCCACGCTGTAAAATCACCGGCGGTCTCTTCACCACGTGAGGGTACTTTTCTGCGGTAAAGCTGGTTTAGGAAGGTAGTTTGGAATTTAAAGGGGGTTCAATCAGTCGAAAGTCGACTGATATTAGCAGGTCGGGAAAGTCAAAACTTGTCCAGTCCCGCCCTGCTCTCTGATCATTAAGTACGATTGCGCTAGACAGAAATGCATCCTGGCTGTTTCTTGTAGCCCCGCAGTCTCTAGGTGACCGTCTCATTAGACGGAAACGCTCAAGAGGGGCCTCGAAGAAAAATGTTCAGGCGGTGAATTTACCGCGGGCCATCAAGGCCTTCCTCTTCCGACAATTCGACCAACTACAGTGAACACGGAACGATAAAACACTGCCAAGTCAGAAGTGTACAGTGTGTGTTGCACTGCACGTTCAAAGAGAGGCCTTGGATCGTATTCCAGGGCAGGGACACCATCCGAAGTCCCCCAATCCGAACTTCTTGGGGCTCGGGATGGTGTCTGTGTGGGGCAGGCCCCCAATCTGAACATTTAGCGTCGCAGGGCACACGCGAACGGTCGTCTGCGTCGTCTGACGCAGAACTGGTTTGGGGTGATTCGTGTCCAATTGGATCTGCCAGATAGTGTCGCAGTGTCGACTGCCAAACGGCCAGCGCTTACAGCGCGGGCACTTCTAGAATTTTGTAAGTGGTTGGCTGTGTGTCTAGAGCAGGGAGTTCAATTTCATATTGCGTGGTTTTGGTGAGTGTACAACTGACTCATGTAAGGGGCAGCGACAAAAACAATTCGTGACGGTGTTCCACAACCTGCCAATTTCATTTGCCCAATCAAACAGCGACATGGGCCTATGCCCATAGTCGCAGATGGAAATTGAAGGCAGTCGCAGATTCCGTAGCCGTCAGCTTCAAAGTGTCAAGATGCCGGACCGCGTGGCGCAACATTGAAATTCAATTTTCAACCCTGCAGACCGCGCGGGGGAACTTTAGATGGTGTCCGAGCGCTGGAATACAGCCTCAGAGACGTCCAGATCCTGCCAGTACAGTGTACAGCCTAGCGTTGTTCGCCAGCACTTCTAACAACAAAAATGACGGGATCAGGAAGGTCAGTCTAGGCTTCCTCATCCCGTCCGTTACGGTTTTGTAGAGAGTCACTCTACAACGGTAGTGAGCTAGACTACCGGGGTTGGCACGAACTACTAGAGGTGATCGTAGCTTTGCTTGGTTCCTTAGTGCTTGCACATTAACGGGAGAAATCAGCAAGAGTTTTCACTAGCAAAATTGGAATTACAGAAATAATCATTGAAGAAGCAATGACAAAATGACATCAGGCACCTAGCAACCCTGCAGCTAGCCTGGTGGACCGCAAGCACAGCTTGGTCGACCGCCTGCCAGCGTTGCGTAGAGGAGCCGCGCGAGCACTGCGAAAAGGCGACCTGCCAACAAAGCAGGTCGACGGCGTGCCAACGCTGCAGCAGAGCGGCTGTCCAGCGTTGCCCCGTAGAACAGAGCAGTGCGCGTAGACGATTAGCCCGACTTGCCTCGTTGGGCATTCGTCGGCTGTTGTCTGCGCCTGACGAGCCACATCGACTTCGGGATACCAGCCCGAAGTCGCCTGTGTTGGAGGGAAACGGTGGTGGGGCGGTGGTATGCCCCCAACCCATCGAGGGCACTTCGGTACCTTCGATCCCTTTGACTAGAGATCGGTGGGGTGGCACGGATTGACTTCGGGAGACTCACCCTTCGGTGCCACGTGGCGGCACCATATTCCAACCTTGGAGTTGAAGTCTCATTCGGTGTGTTCGGTGAAATTCGGTGGCCGAATTTCACCCAACCGAAATTGTTACACGCGGCGCACTAGCGACACGAAATGTAGCGACTCGATGTTACACATGCGGTTCGATGTAATCGAGTTGCTATAAATTGTGATTACTTTGTATGCATGAGACATATTGAAATCATGAATCATCTTGTACATGGTCCATTCGAACCCAAATTCCAGAGAGGTCTATCCTTGCTTCTAAGAGCACTAGCAATCACGTGAATGCCAATATCTCGGCGTATACTTGGGCGATTGACGTGTTTGACGGCTCGTTGGAAAGCCAACGCTGTGCTCTATCATTTAGTACAACTTAGAGTTCCTACCACATAGAGGACACGCCTCTACATCAGCCTGCGCCATCGCAACCTCGACGACGTCCGCGTGCCTCCGCAGAACTTGTCGAGCAGGTTACCCGGTCGACCCGGACGACCACCAGGTGCTTCTGGTCGACCACCACTACTTCTGGTCGACCCCCAGGTCCCTCTGGTCGACCACCAGGTGCCTCTGGTCGACCAAAACTCCCGTCGAGCTACCCCCTGGTCGACGGACCCCTTCCGTCGACTAGAACCATCAGCGGTTGTCGCCGAGCTCCCCTCGTCGACCACTGCTCACTTGTCAAGTCGACGAATTGCTCCGTCGACCTCCTGGTCACGGCAGGTCGACGGGATGCTCCGGAGACCTCCCGGTCGAGCTGCAGATCCTGGTCGACGTCCCACCCGTCACCCAGACCAGTCGGTTGCAGCTGTCGAGCTCCGACAAGTCGACGCCCCTCCTTGCCGGCATCCGTGGCCGCCACATACTCCGACTCGGTCAATGACAATGTCGCGCACTTGATGCGCGAGCTCGACCAGGAGACGGCGGCCCCTCCGTAGACGAATGTCAGAACATTATAGCTTACTCTTTTCTGTAGGCTATAGTGGGGTATCCCATAGGGGGTACAACCTAATTAGGGTTTCATATTTGTACTCACTTCATTTCGTAGTGCACTCATTCTCGTTCTTTCTTTCACATGGAATCAGAGCAGGTCCCATCCTAGGGACTGTTCTTTAGGGCCCACCGAAGCGCGCCCGAGGCGCGCGCCTTTTTTTTAGCGACCCTCCGAGTCGCCCTTTTCCTTCGCGGCCCCGCCGCCCTACTGCGCGGCCCAGCCGCCGCCCTACCTTAGCGGCCCACCCGCCGCCCTTGCTAGCGGCCCCGCCGTCCCGTCGCGGCCCCGCCACCCAGTCGCGGCCCCGCTACCCCTACGCGCGGCCCCGCCACTCCGTAGCGGCCCCGCCACCACTTCGAGCGGCCCCGCCCCTTCGTCGCGGCCCCG